CTGAGCCTCACTTTCCTCATAAAAACTCTTTACAGCATTTAATAACTTACCACCTATTCCATATACTTGCAACATCTGCCACATTGCTCCTCTATCCACTCTATCATATGCCTTTCTAAATCCATAAATGCAATAAAAACTTCCCTACCTTTATCTAAATACTGTTCACATATATGCTTCAATGTAAACACTTGATCTACACATCCCCTACCCACTCTGAAACCTCCTTGCTCATCCGCAATCCTACATTCTGTCTTACCTCTAATTCTTTCAATTATAACCCTACCGTACACTTTTCCTGGTATACTCAGTTAAGCTTATTCCTCTATAATTTTTACAGTCTCTTTTGTCCCCTTTCCCTTTATATAAAGGGACTATACATGCTCTCCGCCAATCCCTAGGTACCTTCCCCTCTTTCATACATTTATTGAACAAAAGTACCAACCACTCCAACACTATATCCCCCCCTGCTTTTAACATTTCTGTCATGATCCCATCAGTTCCAGCTGCTTTACCCCCTTTCATTTTACGTAATGCCTCACGTACCTCCCCCACACTTACATTCTGCTCTTCTTCACTCCTAAAAGATGGTATACCTCCCTGACCAGTGCATGAAATTACTGCCTCTGTTTCTTCCTTAACATTTAAAAGTTCCTCAAAATATTCTCGCCATCTACCTAATACCTCCATCTCCCCATCTACTAACTCCCCTACTCTGTTTCTAACTGACAAATCCATATTTTCCCTTGGCTTTCTTAACTTGTTTAACTCACTCCAAAATTTTTTCTTATTTTCATTAAAATTTCTTGACAGTGCCTCTCCCACTCTATCATCTGCTCTCCTTTTGCACTCTCTCACCACTCTCTTTACCTTTCTTTTACTCTCCATATATTCTGCTCTTCTTATAACACTTCTGCTTTGTAAAAACCTCTCATAAGCTACCTTTTTCTCTTTTATCACACCCTTTACTTCATCATTCCACCAATCACTCCTCTTTCCTCCTGCACCCACCCTCCTATAACCACAAACTTCTGCCCCACATTCTAATACAGTGGACCCCCGGTTAACGATTTTAATCCGTGCAAGAGGGGTAATCGTTATGCGAAATAATCGTTATGTGAATGAATTTTCCCCATAAGAAATAATGGAAATAAAATTAATCCGTGCAAGACACCCAAAAGTATGAAAAACAAATTTTTTTACCACATGAAATGTTAATTTTAATACACACAAACTGAAAAAGGCATGCACACTTACATGACACTTACTTTTATTGAAGATCTGGTGATGATTGATGGGATGGGAGGAGGGGAGAGCATTATCTTCTTACTGTTAGAAGGGGAATCCCCTTCCATTAGGACTTGAGGTAGCAAGTCCTTTTCCGGGGTTACTTCCCTTCTTCTTTTAATGCCACTAGGACCAGCTTGAGAGTCACTGGACCTCTGTCGCACAACAAATCTGTCCATAGAGCTCTGTACTCCCGTTCCTTTACGATTTGTCTAAAATGGGCCACAACATTGTCATTGAAATAGTCACCAGCACGGCTTGCAACAGCTGTGTCAGGGTGATTTTCATCCATAAAGGTTTGCAGTTCAACCCACTGTGCACACATTTCCTTAATTTTTGAAGTAGGCACAATGGATTCCACAACTGGCATAGGCATCTCAGGGTTAGCCCCAAACCCTTCAAAATCTTTCTTAATTTCCATACTAATTCTCACCCTTTTTACCACAGGGTTGGCACTAGAAGCTTTCTTGGGGCCCATGGTCACTATTTTTCCAGAAACAGCACCGAAAACACTGTAATAATACGAAATATTCCGATTGTATGCTTGGATGTTATTGCGGAGGCTGGCTGGTAAACAATGCCACCGGCGGAACATGTGAGCGTGGCTCAGGCCGCACATTGGAAGCGTCTCGGACGAAAATCGGTAAGCGGGTTTTTAAGCGGTATGCGAGGCAAAATTTTTGCAATTAAAGTAAGCGGTATGCGAAAATAATCGCTATGTGATGCCATCGTTATGCGGGGGTCCACTGTACTGCATTTTTAAAACTATTCCAACCCTCTTCAACCCCCCCATTACTCATCTTTGCACTATCCCACCTTTCTGCAATAGTCGCTTATATCTCACCCGAACTTCCTCCTCCCTTATTGTTATACACTTTCACCTCCCTCTTACTTGTTGTTGCCACCTTCCTCTTTTCCCATCTACCTCTTACTCTAACTGTAGCTACAACTAAATAATGATCCGATATATCAGTTGCCCCTCTATAAACATGTACATCCTGGAGCCTACCCATCAACCTTTTATCCACCAATACATAATCTAATAAACTACTTTCATTACGTGCTACATCATACCTTGTATATTTATTTATCCTCTTTTTCATAAATATGTATTACTTATTACAAATTTCTTTCTACACATAGCTCAATTAAAGGCTCCCCATTTACATTTACCCCTGGCACCCCAAATTTACCTACTTACTCCCTCCTAACATTTTTACCCACTTTAGCATTGAAATCCCCAACCACCATTACTCTCACATGATTCAAAACTCCCACGCATTCACTCAACATTTCCCAAAATCTCTCTCTCTCCTCTACACTTCTCTCTTCTCCAGGTGCATACACGCTTATTATAACCCACTTTTCACATCAATCTTTATTTTACTCCACATAATCCTTGAATTAATACATTTATAGTCCCTCTTTTCTGCCATAGCTTATCCTTCAACATTATTGCTACTCCTTCTTTAGCTCTAACTCTATTTGAAACCCCTGACCTAATCCCATTTATTCCTCTCCACTGAAACTCACCCACCCCCTTCAGCTTTGTTTCACTTAAAGCTAGGACATCCAGCTTCTTCTCATTCATAACATCCACAATCATCTCTTTCTTATCATCTGCACAACATCCACGCACATTCAGACTTCCCACTTTGACAATTTTCTTCTTATTATTCTTTTTAGTAATCTTTACAGGAAAAGGGGTTACTAGCCCATTGTTCCCGGCATTTTAGTTGACTTTTACAACACGCATGGCTTACGGAGGAAAGATTCTTATTCCACTTCCCCATGGATATAAAAGGAAAATTAATAAGACCAAGAACTATTAAGATAAAATCAAAGAAAACTCAGATGAATGTGTATAAATAAATGTGTATATGTATGTTTAGTGTGACCTAAGTGTAAGTAGAAGTAGCAAGACATGCCTGTAATCTTGCATATTTATGAGACAGACAAAAGACATCAGCAATCCTACCATCATGTAAAACAATCACAGGCTTTCGTTTTACACTCACTTGGCAGGACGGTAGTACCTCCCTGGGTGGTTGCTGTCTACCAACCTACTACCAGTTATAATAATAATAATAATAATAATAATAATAATAATAATAATAGACGGCTTCAAAAGGCCGTCACTAGATGGCAGTGATTACCACAACAATGCGGGAGTGGTTGTGGCTGCCTCCAGTCATCCCATGACATATTTTATTCATTCTAGAGTATGTATCAGGTTTCTACATTATTTATATTGTTTATTATGTCATAGATTAATTGTGAAAGATAAATAAGCCGCAGAGTTGATATTAGCGAAATACTGAAGTATCTTGTCGTGCCTTCTGAAAGCCAGAATGGAGAAATTGCATTTCCGTTAATTTAAATGAGTAAAATTGACTCTACACGAGCAAATCCAGATGTGAGCAAGGTCACAGAACGGATTAAACTTGTAAGCAGAGGTTCCACTGTATTTGTGGCCTTTGTGAATTTGGAAAAGGCATATGATAGGGTGGATAGGGGTGCAATGTGGCAAATGTTGCAAATGTATGGAATAGGAGGCAGGTTATTGAAAGCAGTGAAAAGTTTTTACAAGGATATTGAGGCTCAGGTTAGAGTATATAGGCAAGAGGGAGATTATTTCCCAGTAAAAGTAGGCCTTAAACAGGGATGTGTGATGTCACCATGGATGTTCAGTATATTTAAAGATGGAGTTGTAAGAGAAGTGAATGCTCTGGTGTTGGCAAGAGATGTGGGGTTAAAAGATAAAGAATCAAACACAAATTGGGAGCTGACCCAGTTGCTCTTTGCTGATGACACTGTGCTTTTGGGAGATTCTGAAGAGAAGTTGCAAAGGTTGGTTGATGAGTTTGGTAGGGTATGTAAAAGAAGGAAATTAAAAGTGAATATAGGAAAGAGTAAGGTGATAAAGATAAAAAAAATTAGGTAATGGAAGATTGGATATCAGATTGACAGGAGAGAGTACAGAGGAGGTGAATGTGTTCAGATATCTGGGAGTGGATGTGTCAGCAGATGGGTCTAAGAAGGATGAGGTGAATCATAGTACTGACAAGGGAAAAAAAGTGAGTGGTGCACTGAGGAGTCTGGAGAGACAAAGAACTTTATCCATGAAAGCAAAGAGGGGAATGTATGAGAGTATAGTTATACCAACACTCTTGTATTAGTGTGAGGCATGGGTTGTGAATGTTGCAACAAGAAGGCTGGAGGCAGTGGAGATGTCATGTTTGAGGGCAATGTGTGGTGTGAATATAATGCAGAGCATCCGTAGTTTGGAGATTAGGAGGTGTGGGATTACCAAAACTATTATCCAGAGGAATGAGGAGGGGTTATTGAGATGGTTTGGACATGCAGATAGTGGAGGGAAGGCAGGGTAAGGGTCAGCCTAGGAAAGGTTGGAGGGAGAGAGTAAAGGAGGTTTTGTGTGCGAGGGGCTCGGACTTCCAGCAAGCATGCGTGAGTGTTAGAGAGGAGCAAATGGAGACAAATGGCTTTTAGGACTTGACATGTTGTTGGAGTGTAAGCAGGTAACTGGCAGGAAAACTCGCAGGCTGGACTTGATTCCTGGAGATGGGAAGTACAGTGCGGGCACTCTGAAAGAGGGGTGTTAACGTTGCAGTTTTATAACTGTAGTGTAAACATCCCTCTGGCAAGACAGTGATGGAGTGAATGATGATGAAGGTTTTCTTTTTTGGGCCACCCTGCCTTGGTGGGAAACAGCCAATGTGTTAATAAAATAAACAACCTTGCATGTGTTGGGTGAAAACTGTATAAAAGGATAACCACCTATCAATCAATCAATCAATTTTTATTTCCTTGCAAGATTACATTGAGATTATGAAATTACAAAAATGAGTTGCAGTGCAAAGAGAGCCACTATCATGCCTAGGCATTATGGGTAGACTTAATTTAATGGCACTACTTAACACTAAAGAAATTGAAGATAGTTTAAGTTGTACATCTTGTTTATTTATAGTACATAGTAATTTTACTCAAAGTACAATAGTTTCAATAGTAAATATTGAAATTATATTACGAGAATATAACTTTGTGAGTTGTTGAAAGCAGTTTACAGTATGAGAACGCTACAATTGGGTGTAAGGCAGTAATGTTTTGGGAAGATATTTATACTACAAGGTAGTTTTAATCAATGTATTGGGCATCATGTTTTGAAGTTTTAAGATTTAGGCAATTGGGAGATTTTTTGGTAAAGTAAAATATTGAGTATTTAGTTTAGGGTGAGTAAGTGGTTTTTGAGAAGTCTTACATTGATGTTCAGACCGAGTTACTTTAGTATGTACTGGTAATGAATTCCAAATTTTGGGGCCCTTTATGTGCAAAGAGTTTTTACACTGTGATATGGACACAGGGTACATCAAAAAGAGATCTGTGTCTTGTGTTATTGTTGTGTGACCTGTTAAGGTTGGTGAGGAGAAGTTTGAGTGGAGGGTTTATGTTTGAGTGTAGTGTTCTATGTATGTAGCAGGCACATGAGTAAGTATGGATGTTCTTTATGGTGAGCAGTTTCAGACTTTTGAATATTGGTGGAGTATGCTGTTGGGAGTGGGAATTTATCATTTTGACTGCAGCCTTTTGCTGGGTTATTAGTGGCCTTAGGTGATTTAATGAAAGACAAGATGATTCTGAAATGGTAAAAATACATGAATCTGCAGGTTCATTGCCCAAAATGATTGAATAAATAAGAAGGCAGCTAGCAAGAAGCAACAAACCCATCACTGTGACAGTTATTGTCTCAGAGACCAGGTGAATATGAAAAAGCTGCTAATGGCTTATACAGTCTCTCCTCACTTAATGGCGAAGTTCCATTCCTAAGAGTAGGTGGGTAAACAAACTTGTCATTAACCCGTAAACGGTCCAAACGTATATATACGTTTTTTCAACATTTGAAAATATGTAAAAAAAGTAGATCTTCTTTTTGTTTTTTTACATTTGAAAATGTGTAAAAAACTTTCATCTACTTTTTTTTTTGTTATATTTGAAAATATGTAAAAAAAAAACGTAGATCTACTTTTGTAGCACTACACATGTGAATGTAGATCTGCTTGGACCGTTTACGGGTTAAGCAAAGAGCATACTATACTGGTAGTGGGTTTGTGTCAACCATCTTTAGGTATTGTTTTAATGCCACCTTTGCACCATTTATAACATTTTTTGTATATTTTTAAATGTTTATACCGAAGTGTACTGTATATCGTAATATACATTACTGTATACTGTAATATACATAGGTATGCATACTGGTCAGAGAGCTAGTCGTAAGTCCAAGCAGTCGTTCAATGAGTACGTCATTAAGTGAGGAGATACTGTACTCAAAAATGCATGTGGCAAAGATAAATGACAACTACACAAAAATAAGTGTAAAAGGAAGAAGAGTAAACAAAGTACAAATAAGGAAAACAACAAGAGACAGAAGGTTGTGAGGAAAAAACTTAGACAAACCAGGGGACTCAAGTGAATGTCTTTTAACCCGTAAACGGTCAAAACGTATATATACGTTTTTACCGCTAGTGCCCCAAACGCATATGTTTTATTTGTCATGCATTCAACATTGTCATGATAAGCCTGAGTCGCCTAGACATGAGAGAATGGGTGTGCACACTCACTGTGTGCCATATTAAAATAATTGGGGATACCTGGGTGCCATATGCTCTTTTTTCCTATTAAAAAAAAAAAAAAAAAAAAAGATTTTTTTTTTTCTCAAAAAATTTGGGGCACTATGCGAGAGAACGTATATATACAGTGGACCCCTGCATAGCAACTTTAATCCGTGCAAGAGGGCTGATTGTTATGCGAAATGTTCGGTATGCGAATGAATTTTCCCCATAAGAAATAATGGAAATCAAATTAATCCGTGCAAGACACCCAAAAGTATGGAAAAAAAAATTTTACCACATGAAATATACATTTTCCTACACACAAAGAGAAGGATACATGCACAATAGTAGAGTAGTACATGCACAATATATATTGTGCATGTACTACTCTACTAAATGAAGAATAAATGACACTTACCTTTATTGAAGATGCAGCAATGACTGATGAGACACTGTGTCCTGGGAGTGCCTTTTCCTCCTGAGTACTGTAGGTCCTGTTTGGCATTTTCTTCCAGAACAGGCCTTATCACACTGTGTATGCCACTACGATTCTTAAATCTCTCAAACCAACCTTTGCTGGCTTTAAATTCACCAATATGAGCACTAGTTCCAGGCATTTTTCCCTGTTCACCTGGGTGTTAGTCGACTGGTGTGGGTTGCATCCTGGGAGACAAGATTAAGGACCCAATGGAAATAAGTTAGACAGTCTTCGATGACACTGACTTTTTTGGGTTATCCTGGGTGGCAAATCCTCTGGGGTTAATTGTTTCTTAGTATTCTCAATAAGCCACACCAACAACGGTGCTACAGCAGCAGCAGCAGCTGACGGTGGTACAGCAGCAACAGACGATGCTACAGCAGCAACAGACGATGCTACAGCAGCAGCAGACGATGCTACAGCAGCAGCAGACGATGCTACAGCAGCAACAGACGATGCTACAGCAGCAGCAGACGATGCTACAGCAGCAACAGACGATGCTACAGCAGCAGCAGACGATGCTACAGCAGCAGCAGACGATGCTACAGCAGCAGCAGACGATGCTACAGCAGCAGCAGACGATGCTACAGCAGCAGCAGATAATGCTACAGCAGCAGCAGACGATGCTACAGCAGCAGCAGACGGTACTACAGCAGCAGCAGCAGCTGACGGTGGTACAACAGCAGCAGCAGCTGACGGTGGTACAACCTGGCCAGCTCGGAGACACGCACTCCACTTTCATACTTATCAATGATCTTTTTCTTCATCTCTATAGTAATTCTCACCCTTATTGCTGTAGGGTTGGCACTAGAAGCTTTCTTGGGGCCCATGGTCACTTATTTTCCAGAAAAAAACACCAAAAACACTGTAATAATACGAAATGTTCCGATTGTATGCTTGGATGTTACCGCGGAGGCTGGCTGGTAAACAATGCCACCGGCGGAACATGTGAGCGTGGCTCAGGCCGCACATTGGACGCGTCTCGGACGAAGAGCGGTGAGCGGGTTTTTGGGCGGTATGCGAGGCAAAATTTTTGCAAAAAAAACGAGCGGTATGCGGATTGTACGGTATGCGATGCGTGCTGTATGCGGGGGTCCACTGTACGTTTGGACCATTTACGGGTTAAATAAAAGAACCATTACCAGAAGAAATGACAGCATTTCTATTGTCCAGAAAGTAATAGTCACACACTGGCAACTATAACCAAATGATTACTGTGCAGTAAGCCCTCAATAAAACAACTTTTAATATAACAGGCAAAATCTGCCGTGTAAACTGCACTTCAAACTCCTTTAATTTCATTGTTTATTGCTGTATAACACTAAATTTTGTGTATAGAACTATTTAAGTATACAATAGAGTATCTAACTGGTTTTTTTTTCCCTTTTTTTTTAACATCGTATTCAGATTTAATGAACACCCAGACAATCCCCCTAATTAATACATTATATTAAGGGTTTACTGACTTACAACAATAGCAGTTCCACAGAAAAGCTGAACAAACTTACTTTTAATTGATCAACTCGGGTATCAACAGCAGTACTAAGTTCATCATAATTCTGCTGTATATGAGCTTTCTCAATAGCCATTTCTTCAATATGACTACGTAACCCATCAATTTCTTCTCGGGCTACTCTCAGACTCTCTGGTTCAAGTGAGAAAGTATAAAATGTTAGAATTTCTGTGAAAGCTACAAAAAATATATGAACTGTAAAGCTTAACAGATGTAAATTTGAACTTTAGAACATGCTATACCTATTCAAATTCCTAAACTACTAAACAAACAAGTCCTTAATGAAATCTGTTGTTCAGAAGGCATCTTCAGGACCATATCCAGCAACACATACCCAAACACAAAACTTTTCCTAAAGGACTAAAGCAGAAATGATAGCACTACACAAGAAATAAAATGGCTGTCTTGCTATGTCATGCCTATGGCAAATTTTTGTAGACACATTATGCACATAACTGACCTTACAAACTTTATCAATTTAGATTGGAGGCAAAGTTTATACTGTACAGGTGCTCCTTGACTTAAAATGGGGTTGCATTCTGATGAACACATCGTAAGTTGAAAATGAATATATGATGAATAAATAAGTAAATAAATAACTGTCATTGAATAAGTAAATAAAAGTACATGTAGTGATATGTTGTACAGGTACTCGCCATTAACCCTTTCAGGGTCCAGAGACCAAATCTCAAGAGTGACAGCCAGGGTCCAAGAATTTTCGAAAAAAAAAAAATCTTAAAGAATTAAGGATAATATTTTTCTATAGGTAATAAAACAAAAAAAAAATTCTGATTAGTACTTTCCAAGATATAGAGGCATGAAGCTGACCCTCAATGACCAGGTGGCAGCAACAAAGGGGACTTCTGTAAAGTTGCGTTTTTTTCATTTTCCTTTTTTGTTTCTTTTCTAATTTTTTTCCAGTAATATTTGTGGCCTGTGAGACCAATATACTGTAATGCATAATGTATATATGTACATCCATTGTATTCAATACAATAGCCACACTAATATTTTCATCATTACGATTTCGTGAGTCATTTTCATCATTATTTTGTTTACAATAATTGTTTACAACTTAAAACATGCAAAAATGTACATTAGTAATGTTCTATTATATATTTACATATGTACAGTCACTAGACATGTTCCTTGAACTGCTGCAATCTGTGAAAGTCTCTGAAACTAGGTGTCATGCACAGTGGTGTCTTATCTGTAGACCAGTATGATTTCATATTATGCTTATACACATGAAGCTTAGGCATTATTGCTGCAAAAAACAAATACATTTCAGCCACAGCTGTCTCCCTCCACTGGTGGATGACAATGAACTTTGTCCTGGAAGTGCTGAGCCCCATGTTGCATGCCATGAGCATGCAACATGGGGCACCACCACCACCTACTGATGCATGTGGTCTATCCATCCCAATTGTAGCCACATCATCATCACTTTCACGGTACATTTCAGGTTTAGGGCCACAGGATATACTCAGTCCCCTTGGAATTGCATATGGTATAGGGAACTATATGGTACAGATACAGAGAGCCCAATGGAAATAAGTCACTCTGACTTTGTAAGGTTATCCTAGGTTCTCCACACAGGTGGCTATGAATGATAATCTATGTAACTGTATTTGTGTATACCTGAATAAACTTACTTGAGCACATGTGGCATCATAAGTAAACAAGTTTATTCAGGTACACACAAAGAGTTACATAGATTATCATACACAGCAGCATGTGTGTGGAAAACCTGGGATAGCCCAAAAAGTCAGTGACTTACTTCCATTAGGGTCTGTGTACCCTGTACAATGGTACCATATGGTACCATTGTACCATATGGTGCCATTGTACCATATGGTGCCATTGTACCATATGGTACCACTGTACCTTATTGTACCATTGTATATGGTACTATTGTACCATATGGTATCACTGTACCTTATTGTACCATTGTATATGGTACTATTGTACTATATGGTACCTTTGTACCATATGGTACCTTTGTACCATATGGTACCTTTGAACCATATCAAATCAAATCAAAGTTTATTCTCTATAAGGATTACAATGCGGGGTTTACAGATTTTGGTTATTGTGTGGTTTACATGTAGTAAAATAATAATTACAGAGGGGGCCACTAGAACACCTAGCAAGGCTAGGCATTTCAGGGAAACTTAGATTAATTCTTAACCCTAAACTATTACAAATTGTGGAGTAAGTTGACTAAATACTAAGTGACTAAATACAGTTTGAGAGTTTAGCAATGTGAATGCTTTTGTTTTGGCACAATACATAGTTTCTATATTGGAGTATCCAGGAAATTTATAAATAGTTAGGATTCATTATTTTAGTGTGAACCCAGGGGGTTTTTATGTAGTTAGTTGAGGGGTGTACAGGAGATAAGATGTTATTTTTTCTAAGGGTGTTTTGAAGGTGAGAATGTGTCAATGGTTTTGAATCTGCTGGTTGCCATGGGCAACCGAGCCTTTTATTGTGATCTGTTTCGTTTTTATAGGGAAATGTTTTTGTATAGTCCAAGAAATTTTTGTTAAGAAAAATGTTGCCAATCGTAAATACCATTGGCCTTGGAGAATTCTGAGGCCATAAACAGTCTCTAGGTTCTGTAAATTTCCCTTTATTGAGGCCTCGTCTGGAGTCTAAATAAAAACTTTGTTGTATTCCGTGGTGGTTACTAAGGTTTGTTAAGAGGAAGGTGGTGGGGGTCGTGTGCTGTCTGTATTTCCCTAAATTTGGGGGGGGCAGTTATTGGTCATATGGGGTCTTTATGGTTGCACTTGTCTCAGCCTCTGGTAATTTTAGAAATCTTCGCCCCTCCAAATTTTCCAAAGCTTTGGATTCTCTGCAAAATAGTTACACTACACTTCCCTAGAACATCTCCACGCCTCCTGCATTTCCCTTTGTTGCAACTTTGAGTTTTGGTTTTTAGTTATTGTTGGTTGAAAAGGTTTTGTTCATTTTGTTTATAAAATCATTTTACGGTGATCATCTGTGGGCCCAAGGGTTGAATTGAATCTAGCTAAAGAAGGTGGTGTTTTTCATTTGTCTTTTTGTTATTATCCCTTTATTTCTCACTAAATTTGGGATGTTTGTGTGGGATTCCGGTAAATGGCCCGATTGTTTAGGGTCTTTAAAGGTTTTTTTCAGTAAAATTACAAAAATATATTCCCCATATTCCACTAAAGCAAAAGGGGGTAAAACAAATAGTTGGTTGGAGTAAAAGATTGCAAAACCCCTCCAAATTGGTTGGTTGCAGTTTGGATTGCTTGGGATCCCGGTAGTGGGTGATATTACTGGTCCTGCTTTTAAACCAGGTTCAGTAAGAATTGCAGGAGAAGGGGGTCTTTAGCGACAAAAGGGGGCCAGGAGGTTTACATAGTGTTTGCTTTAAGGACTATGTTGTATTTAAAAAATATGACTTTTCCACTGTTTAGGATAGTGCTGGCTTGTGATGCTGTGTAATAAAGGCAGTTACTTTCCAGTAGGTTTTTGATTGGGTGTTATGTTGTGGAGGTTTATATCAGGGTCGAGTGATCATTCATCTTCTAGGTTTAAATAGTGGTTATTTTATCCTGTATTGTGCGGTGGAGTTCTAATATGATATCTGTAGTGGTGGCAAGTTTGGCAAGTATATAGCTAAAGCACTTTGGTCATATAGAGTATAGTCAATAATAAACATAATGAAGTTGATATTGTCTATGTGTTGTGCTAGAATGAGCTAAAGTACAACTAAGTATAAACTAAAAATATAAAAATACAAATTAAAAATAGCACCAGACTCTCGCTTGTAATTGCACTAAGGTCTAATATAATGAATTTGGTGTTGTCTATTTATTGAGCTAGAATGAGCTAAAGTACAACTAGGTTTAATCTAATAATATAAAAAATACTAGTTTAAAATGGCACAAGACTCTCACTTGTAATTGCACTAAGGTCTAATATAAGTTGTTAACAAGAACTAGAGTATAACTAAATTTAATTTGACAAGACAAAATACACAAGTTGAGGTAGCAAAAGAAAATAAAAAATAATAAAAAAAAAAAATGGCAAGGGATTGGGTTTAAAATTGATGAAAGGGTTGGTACACAGGATAATTTAAAAAGTTGGAGTTGAATATAAAAGCTTAAAAAATTGGTAACAAAGTAGAAAAGAAAAATAAGTTGGGTGTAAGTTTAAAGAATAGGCAATTATAAGAAGTAAAAATAAATTTTGGGTAATAAATTTTTACAAATAATAGGGCAATAAAAAAAAATTTTAAAATAGTTGGGCAAAAGGTATTGGTAAAATTGGGCAATTAAGATTGGGGGAATTAACTCAAGACTAGAAATATGCAATAATAAGATAAAAAGTTTACAAAAAAATTTGGGCACTAAAATTAAAATAAAAATGAGAATAATAAAAAGCTTCAAAAAGGGTTTTGGGTATAATAGAGATTTTAAAAAAAAATGGGAAATTTGAGTTTTTTTTAAAGTAGGGTAAAATATGAGGACAAGTTTGGTTAGTTTCTTTAAAATACGATAAACTATGAAGTGGTGGGGAAAAAAAAAAGTTGGGGAAAGATTCCGTAGATATTAAACAAAATTAAAGCTATGGGGTAGAAGGGGTCATTAAATAAACAGGACATTAAAAGTATTGGGGTTTTAAAAAATTTTTTGAAGGAAACAAATTTTAGGCATTTAAACAAATGGTGGACAGTGGGTATTATTGCACCTTACTTGATTTGTTAACCCAGCTCACTTGGGAAAATTTTTTTTAAAGGGTCATTTCTGTAGGAGAAGTATTCTTCCGTGGGTGTTTTCTAAACCTGCGTTTTTTTCCATCCCTCAAAAGCACGGGGGGATTTTTTGGGCTAGCGTAATTTTCTTAGCCTGAAGGTTTGTCTTGGGTTTTAAAAGGGCCCCTTGACAAAACTCAGTTTTATGAAACGGAAGTTTTTTTATGGTTTTCCCCTTGTAGGCTGTTTTTTTCCCCAGACTGTTTTTTTACCTGCTTGGTACCCCCATCAGTTTGTAATCCTTTAGGTCGTCCCCCCCCCATATGTTAAGCGAAGGTGGTTCTTGAAAAGCGTAGGGTGGTCTCTGGGGTTTTTCTTGGGTGTTGTGGGTGGGGATTTT